TTTTCCTCATCACAGTCATAGAACTCATCCTCGTCTGTATCGTAGTATCGTTGTGTGGATGGTTTTCTCACAGCTATAGATTGCTCTAGTTCGTGATGTTCTGTGGCCAAAGCATGAAGGGCCTCCTGAAGAACACGAGATTTCTCCATTTCCTCCTTCAACTGGAGGGCTCTAACCTAAATTCAAGCAAAGTTTCCTTAGATATAGAACTCTGAAACAAGATGTTAATTAAAGTACAAATTTTCAAGGATATCAGCATATCATTTACTATTGGACAAAGTAAGAGATAGTGTACAAATGCACAGCCAACTCTGGCCAATATTCACCAATTAACCCTGTAATATATATATTTTTTTGCGATTCAATAGTTTTACTGCGTATGTAACCTGCTTTATCAATATTTTTTCAATATTGCTTGAGTAATTAAGAGGAGATGCTTGTCAGTATCACGAGTTTCTCTCATCTATAATAATGACCAGCCTGGAACACTTGTCTGAACCTTGGCCTCACATTACAGTTTGTTGAGGACTCTACAATGGGCTTGCCTTTCATGCTCCATCAATACCATTTTGGTGAAGTCAATTTATCATTAAAGGGCTATATGTGTACAAAGACACAAATCAGAGCATTGAAGACGCTACAGATCCTAACCTCCTCCTGTTGTTGAAATAGAGTCAGACACTGGCTAAAAGTGATGTTCATCTCTCCAGCCATCTGAGAAATCTTCTGTATCTGTTGTAACGCCACTGTCGAGCCTCCTGAAACATTAAAATAAAGCATTGAAACACTTCTGATAACCAGAAATGTGAGCCATCTTCACACACAAGTTTACACAGGTGTATACAGGGATCTGTAACAGGGTCCTTCAAAAAGTAACCCAATCAAACCTTGTTATCTTAAACTCAATGGCACTGATTAAACTATAAGACAACCAAGGACAAGAGGCCTACGGGCTACATCACAGGAAAAAGCACAAATTAGTTCTGTATTCAAAAATTACCAAAGGGAAGGGATTTGAACATTAAACCACCTAAGGATGCTTCCATATAAATATCACAATAGCTTTGCTGTTCTTTAATAGAAGATTTTTAAAATATTTTTTCCTTATTATTCCTTGTAAAACTTTGATACCCCATTGTGGCCCCTTCCTACCACTGGGATCATGATTTGAACAAACTTGAATATACACTACATAATAATGCTTCCCTATCAAAATGATTAACATGGATTTTCTGTTCTTGAGAAAAAGATTTTTTCCTACATGTATGTCAAAATTTGTTCCCCCATTGTGAACATACCAAACCCCAGGAGTCATAATTTGATTTTTTGTCAACCTTAGTATTTTATTTTTTAGCATTGGACAATCAACTACCTTTCACTATTTAATTCTAACCATATTCTTTAACCAACATGTATATTTATAACATAAATATCAACAGGGCAATAAACTAGCTTGTTTTGAAATTTCTGCTGTCCCTTCAAAAAAATCAATTTTAAAAACTCAATGTTTGCTAAATATATGCCAAATTTCATGCAAATTGGTTGTAAATTTTCAAGTATACCACAGACGATTTAGTTAATATTCCAAAGCAAATCAGCACTGAGATTACTACTTGCTTAGGCAAGTCAGCAAACAAACTAGACATATTTCAAGATCAACACTTAAATTCATAAGAACATTACCAAGCCACTATAACTTATACTGTGAATCTGATGTAATAATTTTCTAACATCCCAGCAAGTTGAATTGAATACAAGTGATATATAGTGACAAGTTCCCTCTTAACCTGGGTTAGTCACCGCACTGGTCAGCTCCATCATCTCTTTTTCCAGAAGTTTCTGCTGTGCCTGGGCAGTCTGTGCGATTAAAAAAAACAACATAAGAAGTCAACAACCTCACAAAGAATGGGAGATAAATTCTGTAGGGAAATTCAGTGTTTACTTTAAGTGTGTCTTGTAGTGACCCCAGGGACAAAATCTCCTCCTCCTCATCCGACTGGGTCACACCCTGGTGGGTGTAATGGGAGCTGTAATTTATGTGATCCTTCAATGCATTTAACCATTTCTAAAAAAAAGAAACATGAATACTTAAAAAATACAAGGCTCAACTCAACAAAGGTGGTTATTTCGTAAGATATACTCAGTAGTCTCAAACTAAACAAACACTCTGGTAGTATGCATCCTTGAGAGGAACATTCATGCAAGTTTGATCTGGGTAGCATTTTTTAGGTACTTAAAATGCACTTGCTTCTAAAAGCTTTTCGTTCAATCATCCAGAAAATGAGAATGAAGATTCGGCATTTGAACTCAGAGGATAAATTCTTACATACATTATCTATGCAAGTTTAGTCACCATATATCTAACAATAATGAAACATTTGTAACATATCTCTTCTGAAAATGAAGATCAATTCCAGAATTCAGAGTATTAAGTTTGGTGTAAGTCATGTGAGCCTTTAATATTCACTATCTTATAAGGGCGAAACGATTACACGTGTAAATGGCGACGTTTCGATTAAATGCTCTAAACGTTTACAAATTGAGTAAACGTTTACACGAAGGTTAATATCAATGTCTAATTGTCTATCAGAAAAAAACCTTCCATCCAAACAAGTTGTTTTATTTCATATTTACTAAAGAAAACATACTCTGTGTCTGTTACAAACATTTTTTTCTGTTATAATACCGGAAACGTAATATTAAAGTAAACTATCTAGAAACCAATATGGTCTAACATATTTAATTCCGATTTCCAAGTAGTGAAAACTAGCAATGTATTATTTTATTTTTCCAATTATATGTTCTAAAATAAATAACCTTTGTTGTTGCTTTTTATTGATAAGAAAATAAAAAAGTATCATGCTTATAATGGTATAATGTTGAACATAGAGCTTGAACGTAAACCGGAACCCTCAATGTTATCGTATTATATTTTTATATTATTATCTTGTTTCAGTTTTTGACACTTCCCGCTACTCTTTTGTCTGAAAAACCAACAAATAAACAGTAATGACAACTCATACTTTCATTATAGTGAAAGAATGGTTTATTAAATTAGTGTTTCATGAGTAAGTAGCCATAAAAATTCATCACATAAAAATCTCCCGTTTAAACGGTACCGTTTCGTTTTTTGCTGCTCGTTTAAACGTTTACAAAATTCAGCAAACGTTTCACCCTTACTATCTTAAAGGCAATCATTACTTATATCAGTATTGATGATCTGGCTATTGAGAATACATTACCAAAACTTGTAGTGAATCTTCATGGCCAGTAGTGCTGTCTGAGAGAGGGTAATACCTACATCATAACTTGTAGTTATTTTTCCTTTCTCTTTGTTTTTCATTACAATCATGACCCCTCACCTGTCGTGCAATTTCTTGTTCTCCCTCCCCTGTGCTAAACGTGTGTTGGATACCATCAGAATACTTCAGGATGAACTCACAATTGTTGTTTTCTGACTTCTTTGGCAACTATAAAAACAAACAAAATTTGGAGGTATAGGAAATATTCATTTAAAAAGTCAATATTCTGTATATTCTTTGAATGGTGACAATTATGACTTATTTCATTACAAATAGATATTTGTGATCTTCAATATACAAATTACTTAAATGTGAAAGCATTGTGTGTAAAAGTTGACATTATATTTCCAGTATAAAGTAATTGAATCTACAGTGTACCAAATATAGTAATTGTATCTACCAGAATAAAGTAATTGTATCTACCAATATAAAGTAATTGTAATTGTATTTACCAATATAAAGTAGCTGTATCTACATGTATCTACCAGATTACATAATAAACTGATAAAGTTATTATATCTACAAGTATTACAGTATAAAGTAATTATATTTACCAGTATTATAGTTCCATCCAAGTATCTCATTCCTTTTCTTCTGGTCCCTGTGCTGGCATCCCCTCTAGAATAGCAGAAATTAACAGTATATATGTATATTTATATAACAACAGGCCCATGTTCCATATCCTTACATCTGTTACTTTAGCCATGTTGTTCTTTGCCAGATTTCCCTTCTTCCAATACCTATTGTGATTCCATTGTACCCCCAGGGATCATGATTTGGACAATATGGAATCTACACTACCCCAGAATGCTTCCACATTATTTTCATCTTTTCTGGCCAAGTGTTTCTTGAGAAGAAGATATTTAAAGTTTTTCCCTGTATATTTATTTTTAAAACTTGAATTTCCAATTGTGGCCCAGCCCTACCCACAGGGGTCATGATTTGAACAATTTAGAATCTACACTACCCCAGAAAGTTTCCGTATAAGTTTCAACTTTTCTGGTACAGTGGTTCTTGAGATGAAGATTTTTATTCAGATATTTTCCTTTATATTTCAATGTAAAACTTGGATTCCCCATTGTGGCCCCATCCTATCCCCAGGGTCATGATTTTAACAATTAAGAATGTACAATACCCAAGCATGCTTCAACAAAAGTTTAAGCTTTTCTGGTCAAGTGGTTTCACCTTTAACCTTATCCATAATTTTTGAGTATGTGGACTTTGACTTTTTCCAAAAATGTCTGAACATTAACCAGACCTATAACTTTTAAATAGTTGATGCTAGGGCTTTCATATTTCACATAATCACTGTGACAAGATCATTCAATGGGAATAAAAACTTTTGACCATGACCTTCTAGTTTGGCCCACTTTAAAAAAAACTAAAACTTTGAACATAACATTTAAACTGTTAGTACTAGGATTTTCATACTTTACAGGTGTATTCCTTGTGACAAGACCTTCCTTTGGAAACCATCTATTTTGACCTTTTGACCTTAAAGCTTGCAGTTTAACTTGCACTTGAAAAATTTCAACCCTCGCCATAAGCTGCCATACGGGGGTATCAGTGTTTAACAAACACATCTTGTTACTACATGGAATTTCATAATTAAGAAAAGATGATTTTTATTGAAGAATACAGGGCAAGATTTGTATTGAAACCATACCTTGTTCTTTATTAATCATGGCACAAACTGTTCAAAAGTTATGGCAGAGGTTAAAGTTTTTCAAAAATAGGTCAAACTCCAAGGTCAAGGTCAAACGGTTAAAATTTTTGGTATCCAAAGGAAGGTTGACAACTTATCACAAGAAATACACCGAGTGTGAATCTATATATGTTATCAAATTTTTTGCAAACAAACAGACAAACAAACAGCTAGACAAACAAACGGACAGGGCAAAAACTATGGAACCCCAAATCTTCAATTATGGGGGCTTAATTATATAAATCACTGAGAAGAGGCTCATGAGTAACAAAGCTTACCTAAGTTAAAAAGGCCCTTCTTGTTTTTCTTGATTAGTAGTAGCTAAGAATATTGCTACCAAAAATTTGTTACGGACAGACACACAACTAGACAAACGGACAGACACACAAGGGTAAAACAGTATACCCCCTCTTCTTCAGAGTAGGGGTATAATGAGTCACCTGAGTGAGTGAGGTGACCTTAACCTTTAGTATAAGATGTACCTGCTCCTGAAGTAAGACAGTACTCCTCTTTCCAAAACCACAAAGACTGGCCTGAATCCAAGAAATCTTGATTTCTGTAAGAAATATATTAAAATTAAATTCAGAAATGTACCTTCATATAAAAAAAAGCAAGGGGCCCAAGGACCTTTAAAAATCACCCATGTATAGTTTAACTTTGTTAAAGGTTTCACATTAATATATAATAAATGAAAATAAACTGAAAGATGAATATACATTTCCTTTAAACAAGAGACAAAGGATAATAAAGGATTAATAGTCTATAGTATTGTTTTTATAACAAACTCTGATCTTGCCTATATTAGCCAGCAGGAATACACTTCCTTTAGCCACTACCAACATGAAAACTTACCTGAGGTCCAGGGGACTTAACTGTTATCTGAGGTTAAACAATTGTTGGATTTTTATTCATCTATTACTTATAAATTTCTGACCTTGACCTTTCACAATTTTTACATGAACATTTGAAAGTCATAAAGAGTTATAATGTAAATCTTCATAAAAAAGCTCACATTCATTTAGATTAAGGGACTCCGACCCTCAGCCAGGAAGGACAACTCTTTAATTTATAATTTAATTCAAAAAGTCTTTAAATGAAGCTTGAAAATTAAATATTTTCATCCAACAATTTTCATTATATGCCTCTCAAAGTGCTTTTTATCAGAAAATATCTTTTATAGGTCATAATGAGGTGAGATATAAAATTCTATATTGCAAAAAAGCTTAATGGCTTTTTATGCTGTTATTTGAAAACAAAAACAAAAAGTGTTACATAAAAACGAATGATGAAATTCTGACCTTGACCTTTGACTTTCAAAATAAAAAGTGTCTTTCTCAGGCCATAGGGAGTTGTGATAATTAATTTTTAAGAAATCATACAGAAAAGAATGTGTTTCACTCAACCAGTATGTATGAAATTTTTGACCTCAAAATAAAAATGGAATCTTTTTTAAAAAAGCCATCTTTTTTAAGCCAAAGGTATATTTACAAGGATATATATTTCATTGCAAAAGCTCAATGATTTTTTACATGTTACACACAGAAAAAAAATGAAGACGGACAGACTATTGGACCCAAATTAATATCCCTATTTTCAGTAAGAGTAGGGGATGAAAGGGGACTGCTGACCACAGTATTGGGAATTCATCCTTTGAAGTTTTCTATGTCAGGATGTTTTCACTTATTTCATCTTTTCTAAGCAAGTGAAGGCAATTAGTTCTTGAAGAGACTTTTATCTGACCCTAAGAAACTTTCATTATTTTTTAGTGGTATCTCCTCTTGGTAGAATGCATGGCCTTTTATTTGAACAAAGGATGATTGCTCTTAACACTGTGTTTTGGGTCTTTTTTGGTCACTTCTGTTGCTTATAAATCTAAACCTTATTTCACTTTAATATATTAACTACAGAAATCTGTCAATCTGACACCCAATATTTAAAAATGTTAAAAATAATTTTAGACTGTAATACAAAAATTAATTTCATGTATTTTTAGTACATACTTATAGTTTTCCAAATGTAGAGAATTTACACTCACCTGCCCTTGATTGAACATTATGTATGTATGAGAGGTGGAGTTAACATCATTAGAATAGATCTAATTCATATTACATGTATATGAATAACAATGACATGTATTAAAAATATGAGATCACTATTTTCCAACTCCCCTTCAAGTACATTTATTTAGGCCAAAAAAAATTATAGTCTTGTTTCCTGCTACCTGCCAGAAAAAAATAGGGTAAGTAGGTAGGAAAATTATTTTATTTTTTAATTTTATTTTATTTTTTCCAATGGTATTTTTTTTGGATATGAACTACTACAAAACCAAATTGAACATGTCATAGCTTAGATAGCTAAGGTCAATATCATCTTTCAAAATGAAATTCCATGTCTTTTGATGCACAACTCAAGTGGAATTTTACGAAAGTAATATTTCATGAAATATTTCATGAAATACAACTTGAGAATATATATATTTTTTCACTTTTGAAACATGAAATTCCTAAAATTTTGAATTTTTACCCCAAAAGCTAAAAAAAAACTTTAGGGTCCGGTGCAAAAAAATAGGGTAGGTCGGGTAGCAGGAAACAAGACTTTTTTATTTTGGCCTTATTTAAAAAGATTTACACCATATGAGTCCATACATGTAAGTAAAGAATATTTTAAATCAATGGCTTTTTAACACGTTTGAGCACAGTGTCCTAGTTAGCACAAAACAAGTCATGTGAGGGGATTTAGTATTCACAAAATTACCTACAGAAAGATATCACGTGGTGAATTATAATACAGGTGACTCTCGATGGCTCGAACTCCGATCTCTCGAAGTTCTCGATCTCTCGAAGTGAACTTCCGGTCCCGTTTTTTCCCTCTATTTAACTAAGCAAATTTACTCCTGATCTCTCGAACTTCTATCTCTCGAAGCTCTCTATCTCTCGAACCAAAACCCGGGTCCCGTTACACATATTTCATTGAATTTTACACTCTATCTCTCGAAGTTTTGATTGCGCGTGTATACAAGCCAATCAAGCGTAAAATTGATGCAGCCTGGACTTACCTGGAAAACAGTGAACGCCTAGGGCTCTCATGGGGGTGTGAATTGGGTGTTTACATAGATAACACTACACCCGTGGGGCGTTCGCGCGTTGATATAATTAATTAGTTATTATTGGTAAATTATAAACGAAGATAAACAACTTATTTTGACTTGAAACCTAGACGATAATTTAAAAAAAAAATAATTTATAGATATTCGTTTCAATGAGTTCCCATAGACTATAAACTTTTATTAGAGTCTACAAAATCCCTGTATGGCAAATATTGCAAAAGGAATTCATTTCTCAAGAACTTAATACCGATAAAGAAAAATCTGGTGAACAAAGTGATAGGTGAAGGACCCGATCAAGCCGCGGAATAGCCAAACCGACAATTGCTTTTCGGGTTTCATGTAAATTATGAAATAAGAACAAATGAATATTGAAACCTTTAGAATTTGATTTATTTATTCGAAATACGATCATTGTTGTTGATATCAAGTGAATTACCTGTAAAATACGATTGAAAACGTGCAAAGACTTTATTTACATATACTTCCGGTATCTATAATAGAAGAACATCGAGGATCGAAACTGAAAATTGAAAATTCCGGATTTTATTTACTTTCTATCTCTCGAACCCTTCGATCTCTCGAACTTTTCTTACGGTCCCTTGAACTTCGAGAGATCGAGAGTCACCTGTATTCTGAATCAACATGTCAAAGCCCTTGGTTACAACAAATAGAGCAAGTGTAAGAAGAAGCAGTTTTTTCTCTTTTAAACAATGAGTGCATGTTTGTTTATTAATCTCCTTTTACTCCTTCACCAAAGGATGATGCTTTGTGGCAAACTTGGTTGAAATTGACCAGTGTTTCTGGAGAAGACGATAATCTGACCATTATGATGACAATGATGTAAAAGATGATGACAGACACCAAACAAAGTTTGATCAGAAAAACATGCTTGACTTTATCCTCTGGTCAGCTAAAAAGTATGTTTCTAAAGGTAAAGCTGGGGATAGGTATAAGACCACCTACCTTAAAGAGAACCCCCTCACACCTGTGGGGGTGAAGACTGAATTCTTTTATTGGTCTCACTCCTAGAATCTGTTTCATTTCATTATTGCGAGCAAAATCAATAGGAGTTTTATCTGTGAAATTGATATAAAATACATTTCTAATGCTTATTATACACTCATTGTCAGGAATCAATTGTTTCTTATTATATTTCAATTCTCTCTACATAGCTTGTTTTGGCAAGATTAATATTTTGGTAGTGTTTTTGTGGTGATTCATTAATTTGGCAAAAATTATTTAATTTGTAAAGGTTTAAGTTTAACTTTATAACTTCATAGATATATACTGAATCATGAAGATAATTCACAAACATCACAGACCTTTGTTTAAAGTTTAGATAAGTTGTCATGAAATCACGATTAAAAATATCCATTTTTAAGGACAAATCGATACATTTGTGTCTTGCTTAAATATCCACTCATGCGCTATATTTTTCTGATTTTCTCACCTTTTTCATTTTTGAGGTCTGCAGCTAGCCCACTTTGAATCAATAACACTGCAATCTCCTTTTGATTAGCCTGGGCAGCAATATGGAGAGCAGAATTTCCATATGCATCTCTACAGCCCAGATTGGGTCTCTTCTCTTGTTTTTGTAACTGGCAGGAAGAAAACCAAAGCCCATGACAAAACTGTAGCTCTAATACATCCTAGAGTATCCTAGCTACAGAGTCCATGATTTGTATTGTCTGATTCTACACCATGAAAATGCTAACAATTATTAACTAAGATAGCTGATTATGTCTCAGCTATTAGTGAAGCGAAGTTTTTAGATTTTTCTACACATTTTTGAAAGAAAAAAAAATTTAATACCAATTTTGCTTCCACATCTTTCACCTAAGGAACTTTAAAAAGAACTAGCTTGCATATCAAAATGACCATTATGGAACTCCTTTTCTTGATATGGTAAGAATATATTTTTAAGACTTCATTTTCCTATATAGAACTTTAGTGCAGACTAAACTTGGTTTAAAGGCAATGAACTAAACAAATTAAAAGAAATCACTCAAATTTTGCCCTTTATATTTAAGAAGAAAGTTACAATGACTAACAGACAGACAGACCTAGACACAATACCATCAGGAAAGCTCACTTCAGTTTCTGTGAACTAATAACTGGCTGGTAACTATTTACAGATAGCTAGACAGACAGATTAATGTTGGACACTTTCCTATAACAATACTGACTCAATGCTTATAGCAACAAAATCCCCTCATTTTACCATATCCTGAATTAGGTCCAGTTTTCCTTCTCTGACTGAGGACAGGAAGATCTGTTCTCTCTTTTTGTTGTCATGGTCCTCTGCAGCTGAAAGGGAAAGAAGCATTAGTCTGAATGTGGTTAAAAACAACATGAAAACTTCATCCAATATACTACATGTACCATATAATGAAGGTAAGAAGTTTAACCAGTGTTACTTACCCAGAATAAGTTCACTGATTTCTCTTGTTTTGGCAAAAAGTCTGGGAGTTTGTCCTTCTGAGTTTATCAGTGTAACATCAGCACCAGAGTCCAGAAGCACCCGCACAACATCCTACATATACAATAAGGCCTGAACTCTGGGCATTGTTAAGTAACTAAAATTTCATATGAATGTGCTTTTCAGATTGGCAGTATATTAACTTGATAGATATAATACCAGTCTGCCAGTGTAAGCTGCCTTGTGAAGAGCTGTGTCTCCATTGGGGTTTGTAACATCAATCCCAGCACCATTCTGCAACAATATATAGCTGACTTAGCATATACATAGGTGAAATAAAATGAAATTGTTTCTTATTAGTAATTTTTATTTGTCGAACACATTTTACTTATAGAGATCCTCTCGCCATTTTTTTTTATTACCTACATGTAGCATGGATTTAATACAACAATTAAAGTCATTACTAACACCTTAGTCTGTGACAGTACATTGCTTTGTTTATAGCCTGGGAAACATAATGATTGGAAATCAGTTCATGCTAGACATTGGTAAGATTGGATGGTGACAATCTAAAATGCTCCTGCTTTAAGCAAATGCCATTGTGAAAGACTCTAAATCCAAGGACACTCGTTTGGTGAAAGTTGGACCAGAAGGAACTAAAGGCAAAAAATATGCTATAATATGATATACAGAAAACAATTTTAATAAAATTTGCTAATTTTGAAAACTTTCATAGAAACTTGGTTTTATAAGGACATTGTATACCCTCTACCCTAGCATTGGCGTCAGAAGCAAATTGAAAGTGGGGGGGGGGGGGGGCTAAGTGTGGCCCCGCCCAACCCCCGGGGGGGTATGATTTGAACAATTTAGAATCTGCACTACCCCAGGATGCTTCCATGTAAGTTTCAGCTTCTCTGGCCCAGCGGTTCTTGAGAAGAAGATTTTTAAAGATTTTTCCTATATATTTCTATGTAAAAAAAAAAAAAAAAAGGAAATGTGCATTTTCTGGGGGGGGGGGGGGGGGTAGGCTTCCATGTAAGTTTCAGCTTTTCTGGCCCAGTACCAAAATGTTTCCTAACACCACCACTTTCCGCATTTTTAATATATACTAAGACCTATCTGTTGAAAGTGGGGGGGCTAAACCTACGAAGATATGTTCAATGTCTATACTAAGTATATATTGGGAAAAAAAGTGGGGGGGGGGGGGGGGGGGGGGGGGGGGGGGCCCCCCCCCCCCCCGGGGGTGTGAAACATGAGGGGAGAGGGGGGGGGGGGGGGGGGGGGGGGCTACCAAAATGTTTCCTAACACCACCACTTTCCGCATTTTTAATACATGTATATACTAAGACCTATCTGTTGAAAGTGGGGGGGCTAAACCTAAGAAGATATGTTCCCTAAGTATATAATGGGAAAAAAAGTGGGGGGGCTAAGCCCCCCCCCCCATTGCCTCCCGTTTCCGATGCCTATGCCTAGAGCACTCATTGAGTAGAGACAATGTGCTTTAAACAAGGACTTTACACAGCGATTTCACTGCATACCATCTATGATGCATGGGTAATCTAAAGGTGAAGTTTGAGCCTGACCGGGACAGTTGAAAATGAAATATGCTCAGGACATGAAATCAGATGGACAGACTGCTCACTAAAGGGTACCAAGAGAGCAGAGTTCTTATGATTAATATAAGAGGTTCATGGGCCACAATGCTCACCCATTAGAAACTGAGTAACTAAGGACCTTCTTGTTTGTCATCAGATGAGATGCAATTTATGGTGCAAGATTTTCTGTGCATTGTTGAAGAAAATTTCCCCATTTTCCAGCAAAGATCAACCAACTTCCTTTCACTCCCAAATTCTAGACACATTTTAAGCAACCTATATATTTTATCCACCTCCGAACCCCTTATAGTTGTCTCTACAGACCAATAAACTCATCCGACAAAAACGTTGAAACACCTTATTTGCATTATGGGATCTGTAGTGTTATAATCATATAAAACCATATCACTACAGATCTTTATATACAGGGCTCAACATTAACGCTTGTCCGGTACCGGTGAAAGAAAATTACGGATAAGTGAATATTGTGGGGCACTTGTCCAATTGGACAAGTGAACATTTTATATGTTGTTGTCAGGACAGAAAGCCTAAATAAAATTTCTTTTAATATTTTTGTTCTTTTTATCAATATTATCACAAATCAATCAAAATTTATTGAAAAATTTTTTGACAAGTGAAGCTGAAGTTCAGAAAAGTAAATGTTTAAAGGTCATAGGAAACGATTCTTCACACCATAATTTCACTTTTTAAACCCAAAGCTACATATGAAAGAATGTTAAATTACGAGTAGTGATATTTTCTGGCCTTTGTTCTGCTGTAAAATAAAGATAAAAAGTGTTCCACTTGTTTCTTTTATTACCCGCTTATCGTTCTTGATTTTGTGGTTTTATGACGTCACAAAAGCCCACTGATGCAAAAGGATCATTGGACATAATGTAAATCTACTCTATTTTATCAAGTTAGTTATATTTTATTTTTTGTGAATATAAATGCGTGTCTGTGTTCAGATGGTGGGGGAGGGGGCTTTTGTGGCTTTAGTGCCGACAATGATGTGCTAATTCATGAATATTGCTAATAAATAATTTATATATAATATATATTGGCTGTAAGTATGTAGGGCTAATTCATGAGTACTCCAACAAATCAATACCTGGTCCCATGCAGTGATTGCTCTAAATTTTGAATACACTAAGTTATGTTCACGTGTACTGTATAAGAAGGTAACAAACAGGACTCAAGCTCCGAAGTCCATTCAAACAATCAATATCAGTAGCAGAGCAAGTATGGACCTCTAAATCACCAGGTGCATTAAACAAAAAATAATAATAAAATGTATATAGATGTTATGCCTACCTCCAATAAAATTTTCACCACATTCTTATGTCCAAAGTAGGCAGCCAGATGAAGAGATGTCCAACCCCTGTTAAACTTCTGATTGCCTAAAATATATTTATAATTTATATTACACTTTCATGTAAATAATTTGAATCTGATGCCCTGTTCACGAGGAGAGTTTAATTCGCATTAAATTAATGTGAAGTAAACTAATGCGAAGTAAACTAATATGAGAATTAAAATTTAATGTCTCTTCAAAAAGACTATTCAGTAAGGCTATTATGACCTCATTTGTAAATCACGTCATGTATGCAGAGCCATCCATTTGATATAATAATCATATTGGCTATAGGTATACATTTAGTGATTACCATAATTTTTAGGGATGGGTATAAAAATTTTTCCGATATATGATTTTTGAACCAATTTTTACAAAATTTTAAAAGCAAAATTTAGCTTTTTTGAAATTTTTATGTACATAAAATTAATCATGTTTGGATATCCACCTTTTACAACATTTTTTAGACTTTCTATGATTGTAATTTGAAAGTAACAAATAAATGAATAACCAACATGTGTCCAAAAAATCGCGATATGATAAAATCGATCCCTAATGATTTTTGAACCAAATAAAGCAGGATACCTATAAGTCTGGCCTTATGCATGCATCAAAATTTAATTCGAATTAGCTTCGCTTAGCGTTCACATGGAGCTAATGCGAAGTAATTTATTACGCATAAAATAAATTTGAATTAAACTAATTCGCAATCAAATTCTCCATGTGAATGCTAAGCGAAGCTAATTAGCAGTAACTTTACGTTAAATTCGAATTAAACTCTGTGTGTGAACAGAGCATGATTCATCTCAACCTCAGCTTTGCTTCATTTGAAAATGGTTTTCTTGAGGTGAAAGTTTTCAATGTTACACTCAACTACAGTACTGTACATGCAATATTTATAAAATGATATGCCATATTTACTTTTAGCTTAAATTGTTGAAATGCTAAAACAAGTTCACTAACTGATTGCAAAATAGTCCCTCATAATAAATATAGTTATACACAATCCCTATAAATTCACAGTATATCTAAATAAACAAACCTTTACAATTAACATCCAGGCTTATCTCTCCAAGTTTGGATCTGCTGATCAAATCCCTGACCACTTCTACTTGGCCATTCCTGGAAGCCGTCAGGAGTCGCTCATTGGCATCAACCGTGTCCTCCTCCTCGCTACTCTCTGTGGCACTCTTGAAATTGTCCTGATCTGACGCCAAGCTCACGTCCATTTCAGACAGTCCTTTGATCCTGTTGATGTTAGTTCGTTACTCAGCTGTTACTGTCATTGGAAAGACGTCATGTGACCAAGGATTTATGTAATATGGAAGCTGAATGAAAACACATATAACATAAATGTCAAGTGAACATGTTAAAAAAGAAAGTTAAATACTATTGTACTTAATGCAAAGGGTTTCCAAAGCCTTGTTTCATTAATATTTCAGTAACACCCGAGCCAAACCGAAAGGGGGTGTAACTCCAAAACAATATTTCTACTTTCACTTTCAAATATGGTTAGTTCGTATCACTAATTTTCCTTTGAGGATGAACATGTACTTATTATTTATTTTTAAAAAATGTATACACGATGCACGTAATTTGAAACTTAATGATTTTGATTTATGAGTAATTAATTCCTTAAGAGAGCAAAATGCAAATCACGACAAGATGACTCAATTTTGATTTACCAGAGACATATAAATGTTTTATATGTCTCTGGATTTACTGAGCCGAGCAATATGTATGAAACATGTAGAACTCCATAACCAACTGATAACAAATAGATAACAATTACACTCTCTAAAATGATTTATGATCAAATAATTTGACATTTAAAAATATATATAAAAACTCCTTAAAAGAGACAAATGAAATCATGATAAGACCAATGATCTTGTGCATGAATCTCCACATAACTTTTCCGACCGTTTTCAATATAAAGAGACAAACCAAAATCATGCAGTCCATTATTTACAAGCACAGTAGACGCGTCCGGAAAACCAATGGAAAGGAATGTTCACTATGTGTAGCGACCATTTCCTGGCAGAGGCTTCAACATTTTCTCAGAAAAGTAATTTTGATTTTATGTTTAATGCATGGATTTGGTGAAGAAAAAGAGTGTTTTTGAGATTCAATGTCTCCATTGAGCAAATTATCTTTCTAGATTTGAGTGGCCTTTAAAAATGTACCATTGGTTTGTGAATTAATTTGATTAGTGAGAAGAGGTCACTCTCAGAAACTTACTGATAAGTACTCTCGAGTGCATCTGATCTGCTTTCATCGATTTTAAACAGGCTTTTGATACTGTATGGAGAGCCTATGCAAATGATTTTCAAACGGTGTTAGTGGGAAGTGTTGCATAAAATCATTGAGTAAAAGGTTGCAGGCATAAAATCTTAAACATTTATTATAGTGTGTGAGGAATTTTTTAACTGCAATGAATGTTCTTGTGAGATCAAAATCATTTACTTTAATTAAGCTGCACATAATCATTTATAACAAAAATTTTATCAGAGACCTTTTCAAAAGAGTAAATACATGTATTAGAACATTTTTATCAACTGAATATTTTATTTTACACAAGATATGGTACATGTAAAGGGAAACTGCAAATGTTTCTGGGTTATGATAAATTTACTTTATTGGAACACTTGGTCATGTTCTGTTAAAGACAAAGTGTTGCTTCATATCATTTCATATGCTGCTTATTACAGAAACTCAGTTTCGAAAATGATTGTTAGCAGTTAATGACAAGTACTCAAGGGATGTTAACTGCTCTTTTATTGACTGAATAAAGCCTAATTCAGAATAAAAGCCTGTTCTTGAGTGATAGGGACTGAGAATTTCTATAAAACCAACAAGTTGAAAGCAAGGAGAAGTTAACGCAATTGCATATAGAATTTTTTAAAACATGTAAATATATTTAAACAATTTCAAGACTTATAGTTGCAAGTTAAAAATTCTTTTCCTTTAAAAGATGTGTTTCATTCTTTGTGGTTTGTGAATTCAGAAGATACCTGGTAGGGATGCATGACACTGCACTGGTTACAACATCAGCATAATTGAAGACTTGTACATAATAGAGATAAATTTTTTAAAAAATGCTTTAGATAGAAGAAGCGAATGAATTTGTAGAATTTACAATTGGCGAAAGAAAATTTTGATTGATAAGATAAAGGACTGTACTCTGATTTCAGAGAATTTCAATATTAGATGACTGCAATATCACTGATAGAGTCAGAAACTTTACTGTCCGTGATTGCACGAACTATAAAATTTTAATCAAATGACTAGATAAGAGAGGCAGGAGTAAAGAATTTGACAGAAGTGCAAACTTTGAGGAGGATTATAGCAGATTCTTTAAGCTACAGATATAGGTATGATGACCAGTAATTCACGGTAAAAGATCCCTCCTCCTTATTTCCCGTATTTCTGTTTGTTTGAATCTCAATTGCAATGCATCAAATTCGTTTTGATATATTATTTATGAAGACTCAAAATGCATGAAACATGTAGAACTCCATAACAAAATAGATAAAAATTACACTCTCTAAAATTATTGATGAGCGAATAATTTTAAAATTTGGAAATTTAAAAAAAACAACTCCTTAAAAGAGCCAAATGCAAATCATGACAAGACCAATGATCTTGTGCATGAATCTCCACATAACTTTTCCGACCGTTTTCAATATAAAGAGACAAACCAAAATCATGCAGTCCATTATTTACAAGCACAGTAGACGCGTCCGGAAAACCAATGGAAAGGAATGTTCACTATGTGTAGCGACCATTTCCTGGCAGAGGCTTCAACATTTTCTCAGAAAAGTGATTTTGATTTTATGTTAAATGCATGGATTTGGTGAAGAAAAAGAGTGTTTTTGAGATTCAATGTCTCCATTGAGCAAATTATCTTTTGAGATTTGAGTGGTCGTTAAAAATGTACCATTGGTTTATGAATCACTTTGAGTAGTGAGAAGAGCTCACTCTCACAAACTTACTGATAAGTACTCTCGAGTGTATCTGATCTGCTTTCGATCGCTTAAAGACTTTTATAGTATAAGAGCCTATGCCTGAGTGACGATGTCTGAGAATTTGCATAAAATCATTGAGTAGAAGGTTAGGGGGAGATAACTTAAACATTTATTATAGTGATATGAGGAAAAACTCAAGAATGTTCTTGTGAGATCAAAATCATTTACTTTAATTAAGCTGCACATAATCATTTATAACAAAAATTTTATCAGAGACCTATTTGTGAGTCTGTAAATACATGTATTAGAAGTTTTTAACAGAATAAATAAGTACACAAGATATGGTACATGTAAAGGGAAACTGAAGATGTTTCTGGGTTATGATAAATTTACTTTACTGGACTTGGTCATTGTTCTGTTTAAGACGAGTGTTGCTTCATATCATTTCATATGCTGCTTATTACAGAAACTCAGTTTCGAAAATGATTGTTAGCAGTTAATGACAAGTACTCAAGGGATGTTAACTGCTCTTTTATTGACTGAATAAAGCCTAAATCAGAATAAAAGCCTGTTCTTGAGTGATAGGGACTGAGAATTTCTATAAAACCAACAAGTTGAAAGCAAGGAGAAGTTAACGCAATTGCATATAGAATTTTTTAAAACATGTAAATATATTTAAACAATTTCAAGACTTATAGTTGCAAGTTAAAAATTCTTTTCCTTTAAAAGATGTGTTTCATTCTTTGTGGTTTGTGAATTCAGAAGATACCTGGTAGGGATGCATGACACTGCACTGGTTACAACATCAGCATAATTGAAGACTTGTACATAATAGAGATAAATTTTAAAAAAAAATGCTTTAGATAGAAGAAGCGAATGAATTTGTAGAATTTACAATTGGCGAAAGAAAATTTTGATTGATAAGATAAAGGACTGTACTCTGATTTCAGAGAATTTCAATATTAGATGACTGCAATATCACTGATAGAGTCAGAAACTTTACTGTCCGTGATTGCACGAACTATAAAATTTTAATCAAATGACTAGATAAGAGAGGCAGGAGTAAAGAATTTGACAGAAGTGCAAACTTTGAGGAGGATTATAGCAGATTCTTTAAGCTACAGATATAGGTATGATGACCAGTAATTCACGGTAAAAGATCCCTCCTCCTTATTTCCCGTATTTCTGTTTGTTTGAATCTCAATTGCAATGCATCAAATTCGTTTTGATATATTATTTATGAAGACTCAAAATGCATGAAACATGTAGAACTCCATAACAAAATAGATAAAAATTACACTCTCTAAA